AGAGGAAGGGAGAGGGATAGAGAGTTAGAAACATCAATGAGAGAGAAACATCCATTAGCTTCCTCCTGCACACTCCCTACTGGGTATTCCGCCCCCGCCGGGATGAGCGCCTTTCCGCCGCCGCGCTCACCCCGGTTTCCTTCGTTCGCAGTGAGCTCCCGGCCTCCGGCCGGGACACAGATGGCCTCCGGCGAGCGCGATGCCATATCGTGGTACCAGAAGAAGGTAACTCGGCGCGTCCTCCTGGCCAAGTGCCCTTCCTGCCGGGGCGCCCCGCAGAGCTCCCGTTAGCCCCCCGGCTTCCTGCACGCGCCCCGACGGGCCTGGGGAGACGGAGGGACACGGTATCCGCTCCAGGTCCCCAGCACGACCCCCGGTCGCCTCCTTCTGCAGCGACACCATCGCGCCCCAGAAACACTTGGAAACAGCGTCTATCAAACCGCTCCTTGTTAGACCCGAAACTTCTATCTGCACGCCATCAACAATTTTTAAAAATGATCCTCACCTGATGAAAAAGAATGTGTTTATGACTTTAGAGAGAGGGAGAGAGAGATTGAAGCATCAGGGATGAGAGAGAAACATTGATCGGCTGCCTCCTGCACGCCCCCTACTGGGGATCGAGCCCGCAACCCAGGCATGTGCCCCAAGCCAGGGTCCAACTGTGACTGCGCGGTTCAGGGTTGACTCAACCACGGAGCCACACCGCCAGGTTCCATCGATTTTTTTTTTAAGAGAGAGCGAATGGAAGGGGGGGGGCAGAGAGAAAGAAACACCCATGAGAGAGAGAGAAAGAGAGAGAGAGAGAGATCCAGAGATAAACTGGTTGCCTCCGCATGTGCCTCCTGCAACTGAGGTAGGTGCCCTTGACTGGAAATGAACCCGAGACCCTTCAGTCCGCAAGCCCATGCTCTAATCACTGACCCAAACCGGCAGGGGTGGTTGCTGCCAACTGTTTTATTATTATTATTTTTCTTTATTGATTAAGGTATTAAATATGTGTCCTTTTCCCCCCATTACGCCCCCCCCCACCCATGCCCTCACCCCCCTGGTGTCTGTGTCCTGCCAGCTATCTTACTGAGCTGTCTGTCCCTTGCCTTTTATTCCTCTCTAGTTTTCCTTAAGACATGGAAACGTTTTCCAGATACCACACAAACTTAATTTAGTCAAACTCTGAGCAGCACCGGCATTGCCCACATATCATATTGATATTTGGTAGTTTATGACTTTGTGAGGCTTGCGTCATTGAAATAGCCTCTCCCTGTTTCAGATTGGAGCCTATGACCAGCAGATATGGGAAAAGTCGATCGAACAGACTCAGATTAAGGTAAAGTGATTTCCCGGCTCTTCGCTCTGTTTTGCGGTGTTAATGTGAAGAGTGGATTGCACTGGGTCCATCGGGTATGGCTTTCTTTAGTCTTTGAAGTTTGTAAGGCAAACAGCACTGCAAGCAGCGTGGGAAATGAGGGTTGGCTTTTGGCCTCAGTACCGGGGACGAGAAAGAAGTGGTTGGTCTGTGATGAATCAGAAAATGAATGTCCCGTATTCAGTGGGGCTGTGGCTTTTTCACTCTTCACTCTGCCCCGCTTTGCTTTGTGCCAATATAGGCCCACTATTGACAGATCTTCAGCGTTTTCAAGAGAAGCTGGGAATGTGTATTTTTATATGAAATATCTGGACTTTCTAGACCTGTGCCCCCTCCCTCGCCTCCCCTCCCCTCTTTTTCCCCCCCCCCCCCTCCTCTTTCTCTTCCTCTTCCCCTCCAAGCCAAATAAAATCCATCTGTGGCTGCAATCACCTTTTCAATTACTGGTTTCGAGTAAACTTTTTTCTACAGTGCTGTGGGAACCGAGCAAATTCTTGGGGTTATTTCATGCTAACTAAGCAACCAACACTGATGTGGGATTCAGAGTGCCAGCTTATCTATACTAATAAAAGGGTAATATGCGAATTAGGGCACATGTCTTCTGGACGTCCTTCCAGACAAAGCCACAGCCACGGCAGCTGCGGGGCCCAGGCGAGCT